TGCAAACTTGCACGGTATTATTTCAGTTCTCATTTTATGGAGGAGAAAGCTGAGGCAAAGAGAGGATAAGAAATTTGACAAGTTCACTTAGCTACGAAGTGGGGAAGCAGCGTTGTGGACGCAAGCTCTGTAGCTCGAGGCCTGCGCTAACCACAGTGCTCCGGTGCTTCCGTGAGGAAAGGGGCCCTGGGCTCCCCGTGTACATGGCAGGGCTAGCCGACCTGGAGAGGAGATGGAGATTCCGGCGAAACGGTAGAGCAGTCGGCAGTAAACACGACGTATACGCTAAGGACTCTGGCTTCTGTGAAAATCATTCAGGGCACAGATGGGGCAGAAAGTTGCCACTGAACAGATTACCCAGACTCTTTGAGCTCCCGCTGCTGTCTCTGCAGAATGGGGGTGACAACAGTTCCCCTCCTAGGGTTACTCCGAGTATTAAATGAGAAAAATCAAGCAGAATGCTAATGCTTGGCAGATCAGAGGTATACAACAAATGCTAGCTATTCAACTTTATTATTAATTTATCATTTATTAAACAAAATGCACCAACATCTGTGGGCAAAGCTCATTGCGATGAGATAAATGGATGGGAGCTTGCTTCAAGCCGTTTGTATCAGGGTAAGAAAGTCACCTTAGCAGGAAGAGCTGCATTAAAACGTGGACTCTTTTCATTCTGCCTGTCCCCAGGGTGGAAGTGTGCTACCAGAGGATGGAGAATCCTGGCTGCCACGTGGTTGATGCCAGCCCCTCCAGAGAAGACGTCCTGCGGAAGGTTTTAAGCCTAATCCAAAATAATTGTAAAAATGTGCCGGGTGCCACGTCCTACTAGATTAGATGTCTGAGACATCTACGCCCACCATTTGTGATGCAGTTTTCCCAGATTTCTGTCGTATGAGCATATTGTGTGGCAGAAAACTGGAGACCAGATGATTTAATTTTACTCCAGCCCCTGTGCTCTCTTCTGACTGGTGGACCCACCGAGCTTCAGACGGCCGTGTTCCAATGGGAGGCTAGCGACTGCTTCCTGCCTGGTGTAGTCAACATTTTCTTGGAACATACTTTTCACTCCATCACTACCGACTCTCTGCAAGGCTTGTCTTATCCAGAAGGCGTCAGCTATGCAGAAGCAGCCGGGAAGATCTGCCAATCAGCGGGGAGCCCCTGCCGCCTCTCCTGCCCTGCCCTGGTGCAGGGATGATGCCGTGAGGTGCCCAGAGTCGACTTCTTCCAAATGTGGTTGCACTTCATAATGACGGTCTCACTCGGCCCCCGGTCCTAGAGCCAGGTGCTCCCACAGAGCCTGTCTCTGTGTCCTGGCTGTCCAAGGACACTCCTACAGAGCCATCTGTGGGCAAGTGACACTGACGAAGAAGGCATCGATCTTGCGTCTGAGACTCGGAGCCTCTTAGCTAGTCCCCTGGGCTGATGCCGCCGAGTCAAATATGAAGACATTCAACCCAAGATGCTCTAACTGCAAATGTACCAATGTTCTCTGAACTGCATTTTGCTTGTTTGTCTTTCTTTCCTTTCCTACAAAATACGGCTCTGGCCGTGATGAGCATCTTGCTCTGAGCTGGATGTATTTCACTCGGCCAATCCAGCAACTTACTTACATTGATCTTTGCGTCACGTGTTTCCTCAGTGTGGAGTCACGAGTTAAAATTGGAGCCAAGAAGCTGAATGCAATATTTGTTGTGTATTTTCATTACACAAATTTATCTTGCTCGATAAGCACAGTGGATCCTGGAATGGGATTTCTTAGTAAATTATCTTCCACACGACTGTCTTATGATTACCGAGAAATCAGCTTTGAGATCTGCGTGAATAGAAAAACCTAGCTGAGAAAAAGGGAAATCTAATAGCTTTGGCCTTAGGGAGCAGGTTGAGCCAGGTGATTACCTAAAATTCCTTCCAGTTCTAAAACAGATGAATCTGTATATTATTTTTATCCTGCCTTCCATTTCTTAAGAAGACGTTACCCCAAAATAATTAAATTT